CCCCAGACATGATCCTTAACATGACCCCAAACATGACCCCAAACCTGATTCCAAGCACAATCCCAAACCTGGTCCCAGATATGATCCCAGACCTGATCCCAGACATGACCCCAAACCTGACCTCAAACATAATCCCAAAGCTGACCCCAAAGCTGACCCCAAAGCTGACCCTAAACTGACCCCAAAGCTGACCTCAAAGCTGACCCCAAAGCTGACCCTGAACCTGACCCCCTCTGGCACTGAGGACGTCTGCCAGCGGCACGGGCCTGGCGCCCGTCGGCCCCGGGAGCACCCAACCGGATTCCCGCGGATCCTGGGAATGCTGGGGTGGCCGAGGCCGGGGTGGCCCGGGGCCGGGGTGGCCCAAGGCCAGGGTGGCCCAAGGCCAGGGTGGCCCGAGGCCGGGGTGGCCGAGGCCGGGAGAGCCCGAGGCTGGGCTGGCCGAGGCTGGGCTGGCCGAGGCTGGGCTGGCCCGAGGCCGGAGTGTCCCGAGGCTGGGGTGGCCGAGGCCAGGAGAGCCCGGGGCTGGGGTGGCCGAGGCCGGGGTGGCCGAGGCCGGGAGAGCCCGAGGCCGGGGTGTCCCGAGGCCGGAGTGTCCCGAGGCCGGGGTGGCCCGAGGCCGGAGTGTCCCGAGGCCGGGGTGGCCGAGGCCGGGGTGGCCAAGGCCGGGAGAGCCCGAGGCCGGGGTGGCCGAGGCCGGGGTGGCCGAGGCCGGGGTGGCCGAGGCCGGGGTGGCCAAGGCCGTGCTGGCCGAGGCCGGGGTGGCCAAGGCCGTGCTGGCCGAGGCCGGGGTGGCCAAGGCCGTGCTGGCCGAGGCCGGGGTGGCTGAGGCCGGGGTGGCTGAGGCCGGGGTGGCCGAGGCCGGGGTGGCCGAGGCCAGGAGAGCCCGGGGCTGGGGTGGCCCGAGGCCAGGGTGGCCCAAGGCCAGGGTGGCCCGAGGCTGGGGGAGCCCGAGGCTGGGGTGGCCGAGGCCGGGGTGGCCAAGGCCGGGGTGGCCGAGGCCGGGGTGGCCCGAGGCCGGGGTGGCCAAGGCCGGGGTGGCCAAGGCCGTGCTGGCCGAGGCCGGGCTGGCCGAGGCCGGGGTGGCCGAGGCCGGGGTGGCCGAGGCCGGGCTGGCCTGAGGCCGGGCTGGCCGAGGCCGGGGTGGCCGCTCACCATCCGAGTCCTCCTGGCCGGGGTTGGGCACCAGCCGGCAGTTGTCGGGCCCCGGGGGCCTGAAGTCGGGGACGCCGTCGTCGTCGTCG